ATCAAAATTTTAATAATATAATTAAAAATAGGAAGTAGAAATAATCATGGTTTTGAAAATATGACCAGAACTGGAACAACTTTGACCACTGGTTCTTGGGTCAAATGGTCTGATTGTCTAGTCTGAACCCCGGTGAGATGGTTTTTGTGTCCAATATCGGACCTGAGCGGTTCTCGAGTCAATCATTTTGACTGTCTGATCTGGTCTGTTTTTCAAAACCGTGGAAACAATTATAAAGCAATACAATGCAATAATAGATTTAAGTAATTAATTTGTCAATTAAAAATGAAAGTATTCACAATCTAATTTCCAGAACTATCTACAATTCTACATCACTAAATTCACATTTAACAATTTATAGTATGTCTACCTTCTATATCAATAATTAACAGAATGGGCCAAATTAAGTGGTCTAAGAACTGATAGAAGTTGCTTGAATGCTGCAGCAGGGTGGTCTGTGGTGTCTCAGTCCTTTAAAGATCTTCTAAAAAGATAACAAGAAAAAAAAGAAAAAGTGAGTCCGAACACAGCTACCAAGGATATTTTTTTAATGCAGTTCTGTTTAAGCTCAAGGCTGAAGCCACTGAATTGAGAAAGAAGGGAAAAAAAAGAAATTAACAAAGAAAGAAAGAAAGAGGACGGACATGCTTGACTCGAGAAGGAGGAAAAAAACCAATGCAACAGGAGGAGGAAAAAGAAAAAAAAAAAAGAACAAAAATGTCTGCAGCTCAGTTTGGACTGACTGAACTGAATCGAGAAGTAGAAGTAAACATACCTGAATCGAACTATCAAATGTTGAAGGAAACTGGTTGCAGAGCTGGTCCATTATTCCAGTTTGAGCCATAGTGTTTTACGATGCAAACTGAATCGATTCTAATGTTTTGCAATTAAAACAATGATAATATACAATAGAGGTCACGATAATATTGTGGCCCCGCTAACAAATTAAAAAATTCGAACTTATAAAATAATTAAAATAAATTATATCTTAAGTCCTGAAGAAAATGAGGCACACACCTCTATACAAAGTGTGTAAAAGACGTATGCCTCTGTATACGCCTCTATACAAGAGGCTTATGCCTCAGAGATCTCAGTGCTTCTCCTATATGCCTCGAGGTGTGTATAGAGGCGTATGCCTCAGCGATCTCAGTGCTTCTCCTATATGCCTCAAGGCGTTTCTGGAGTGCCTCCAGGTGTACACCTTCCGTGCCTTTTAAAAACAGTGGTTGTATGTTGCTATTTGGAAGTTGAAAAGGAATCTTGAGTTGGAAATTTGGGATTTAGAACTGAAGTATTGAATCTTTTGACTATTTGACTTTTCAAATCAAGTCTTGTGCAGGTTGTCATGCTTAAAATATTTGTTTTTATTAATATGGTGCTTCATTACAAGAAATTTCTTACACTATAAAAAATACATGCTAGGCTATGCCTCTTACATTCTGAACGACACTTCATGCCTCCAGGTGGTAGAATGCCTTGCATCATGCCTCTGCATTTTAAAACATTTATCTTGTCTATGGCTCCATATCATTTTGTTTTGGTTATGAATGTTGGTTAACTATGTATTTACAAGCAGAGGCTGTGTTATATATAGGGTTGAGCATGGTTAGTTTGGAACTGGAATCTACTATGTTGAGATTGGTTCCAGGATGTCTGGCCTTGGTGGTTCAAGCCAAGTTCAATTCCAAGGCTGATTCCACCAATCCCAACCAAGGTTGGGTCTGGTTGGGTAAATCTCTAGACCCTGGATCTGGCCTGGGTGGGGGTTGGTTGCAAGAATTTGCATCCAGACCCTACCCTATAACAGATTGGGTAGGGTTGGTTCGAGGTTGGCTTCATTTAGTTCCAGGTAGAACCTACTCTTTTGCTCACCCCTAGTTGTATAATTGTTTGTGCTGCATGGTCTTGATTGGTGAAATTATGGAAGGGTAGACCTATGAAATGATGTTTTAGATTCAAAAGGTTTCAAGTTTGGATTGATGTCCAATTAAGATACACTTGAAGGACATGCTATGCATTGGGTTGTTGGAGTGGAGGCATGGAGATATGCTTCTAGATTGTTTGTATGACCAACCACGATTATAAAGTCAAGTTATCTAGGTGATTCAAGGTGACAGTGCCTAGTTGGCTAATCGCCTAGGCAGGCACTTAGGCGATAAAAGTTTTATGAAATAAAAAGAAACTAATTTTAACAGAGAAGTTCCATATCAAATTAGCAACTAAAGACTGCTTTAATTTTAAATGGTGTAACTTAAGATTGAGAGTGCCAGCTATGTTGTATGGAGCAGAGCCTTGGGCAGTCAAGAAACATGTCCAGAAAATGAATGTGGCAGATATGCGAATGCTAAGATTGATTAGGAAAACTAGAAAGGATAGGATTGGGAATGAAGTTATCCGTAGGAACCTGGGAATGTCTTCTATAAGTGATAAAATGAGAGAGAATAGACTAAGGTCCCGTTTGGTTCGCAGGAATAGGGGTCCGGAATCGGAATGGGCTATTCAGATTCCAACTGTTTGGTTGGGCGGAATTGGAATCCCATTACCATTCCTGCTGGAATGGCATTCCCCCATTTTTAGGGAATGGCCATTTCCTGCCCCTCCCTTGGGAATGAAATCCCATTCCTGCTGATTTTAATTTCCATTCCCATCCCTGTCTGAACCAAACAAACTATGGGAATGGACCATTCTGATTCCGACTCCGAACCAAAAGGACCCTAAGATGGTTTGGGCACGTGCATAGAAGACCTCCGACTGCACCAGTTAGAAAAAAGTGATGTTACAAATTGAAGGGGCTAGAGCTTAGGGTAGACCAAACAGAACATGGGTAGAAGTAGTAAGAAATGATTTAAACACTAATAATTTAACATTGGATATGGCGTTGAATATAACAGATTGGTGAAGCAGGATTCTTGTAGCCGACCCGATATAGTTGGGACAAGGCATGGATGATAATGATGATGAACATAAGATTGAGAGTGGCAAGTAAAAGAGAAAAAGAATAAGACCAGAGCTGTTGTTTTATTTCTAAGATGTATCTGCACACATATTGGTAACACATGTAGCAATATGAATGGTATTATAATAAGGCGTTTGTCTTGTCATTTTTGTCACCTAAGTGGGTGAATAGTTGCCTAGGAAAATACCTTGGGGCTATAAGTCAAGGTATTTAGGCAAGGTGCCCATACAAGAGTGCCTAGTTACTGCCTAGTTACCTCCTTGACAACTATGTGACCAACATTTACCAATATGGGCAGAATATTGTTAATGGAAGTTATTACTCATTCTTTAATGCCATATGGGGAGAATAATGGGCAACCAAGAAGCAATGCGTATATAGGATGCATGTGATTAGTGATGTTGATATTTGATAATTTATGTGATTAGGAAGTACAAAATAAAAGATGAGTGCATTGTGGGAACCTAGGAATAGCCCTAAAAGATGACAAGTTGTGAGAGAAGTCAACTGAGATGAGTTGGCTATACGCTTTCAAGATGAATGATTGCATCTGGTGAGAATTAAACAAAGTATGTTCAAATTAAACCACAGCACACTTTCCATGGTCAAGCACTCCTAGTCATTGCTACTCAATTCAGCTTTAATCCCAACCGTTTTTGGGTTGGCTATCATATTGGATTGGCTAGATGTTTTTATGTTGGCTGCCAACCTGATGCAGCTCTGATTTATCCGGGCTTTGGGTTCAGAAGTTTTAGTAGGCTAAAACTGGCAGAATTTACCTATATGCATAGCAATACAGAATTGACCTGTGGGCCTAGACCAGGTTCCATTTCTTCTTCTTTTGAATTTTTAAGCTTTGGGGTATCCACCAGGGTATGGTTGGTAAAACTACCGTATTGAAAGCTATGATCAATTATATATTTCTGAGTAGTGAATTCCAACACAATTTTGTCTAAATAAAAAAAATCCCGATACTCATTGTGTATTTTCCCCATTAGTATCTTGCCCTCGTATCTCCTGTTATTGACAATTATCTTCTCAAGTTTATCCTCACTAATTAAGATCTTGCATAAGGTTTGCTTCGATGGTGTTGGTCTCATTGCTTACAAACCCTTGTATGCACTAAACCATAATAAAAGCTATAAAGCATGTATTTATAAAAAAACTGGAAATTCATTTTACAAGTGTAGTGGCATGTATATAAAGAGTATAAAATGCTGCACCTAAGTTTCATCCCTGTTGTACCTGTCTAACGAATGTAGAAACTCCAACCTTTACTCAAGCATCAATTAAGCAGGCATCCATTTTTTTGATACTAATGATACGAGCTTTTCCTTGTCTGTTCATTCCTATTTGGAAAATTAATTGGACTGCTAATGATTTTGTTGGATAAAAAAGAGGAACTGAGCTGCCCTTAAATTGCAACTAAGGCTCAGTTTGGTTGCAGTGCAAATTTATTTGCATTAGCATAATGCATAGGGGTGCAAATAGTCTAAGTGTAAATTCTAGTTTGTTTTTGCTTCAGATTTGACTTCGTTATATTTGTTTGTAAGGCTCAGTTTGGAAAGAATACAAATACAAATGTCTACAATACAAATATAAACAAAATAAAAAACAAATACAAGGTTTTGCACTCTACAAATTTGTATTTGTACTTCCAAACTGAGCCCAAGGAAATCAGGATGATTATTGCATAAAAGTGCTCTTTCTATTTGCACTTGTTTTGTTTTTCATCATAGCTGGTTTGTTTTATCTACTAAATGGATGCAAGCTGGGTAGTGTCCTTAGGTCAGCCAATGCACTTTTGACTTCATTTTTCTGTCCACCTGAAATTAATGTTATACTTGCCTGCACCTAATAATGGTTACAGTAGTCCAGCTTCTATAATTATGTTGTGAAAAAACCTATTGGTGGGCTCTCATAACATTAGTATGCCAATTTTCTTTGACAAAATAATTGCGCATCATGTAAGTGTGTATTGGAATTGCTTTAAGCATTTAGAACTCACTTGCCAAATGGAACTTATTCTCGTTTGTCCATCTAGCTCAATAAGGAGCCTGAGTTCTCTGAGATGAGACATGAATACTTATGGCAGTACCATAGTGTTCTATATCTCCTATGACCTTGTACGTAAAATGTTTTCTTTATTTCTCCCATTATGTATTTTGGTTCAATGGTCAAATCCTGTTGATGTCACTTAGCCCTTTTCCCTTTCCATGTCTGGTTCAGTCTTGGTGGAATTGGTACATACGCACTTTAAGAGAGAAGTATATAGGAGTGATAGAGCCAATGGTACAGGTTCTCACATGGGCCCTGGCCTGTGGCGAAGCTATATAAAAGTAAAAAAAAGCAGCCAAGAAGAGGAAGCCAACCAGCACTCGGAGACGTGTAACCACCGAGAAACTCGATGAACAGATAATTGGTTTGATTTACTCAACTCGAGCCCGTTTCATTTCTATTCATACATCCTTTGAGAACCAGAAAAATTATCAGGTTGATGCCGAATATTTTTGCCATAAAACATTGTAACAGTAGGGTTGCCGAGATTTTGAGGCGTGTGTTATTATTTTCACCTGCCTCTGTTGTGCAATGAAATGAGGTAATGTTTTGATTAACTTTTCAGTTTAAAGCCTGTTAAGATTGCAGATAGAATAGGGTGCCGGCATTTCCCTTTTGAGGCTTTGAGCAACATCGACCGTTTGAACATGTGTGCAACACAAAGGGGAGTTCATTCCAACAGCCTTTACAGTTTGGAGTTCAAATCAGCCCCCCACAAGATTTCCCTCCCACCGTCCCACAGCACATCGCAGTGTATTGGGAGCATCTCCTGCTGATAATCCCAGAAATGATGATGATGTCATCATCAGATGTTTTCAATACACGGTGGGGATGTGTTGTGGGATGTTGTGGGGGGCTGATTTGGTCTGTTGGGAATATCTCTGTACTTGTGTAATCTATTAATTTATTTTATGGAAGATATTTCCAATGCAAGGTTGCAAGGGGCTGCTCGAACGGTGCGAGCATTGATTTGCCCTCACAGAAGCCGAGTTCCACAAAGGGGAGTTCTGATTTTTGAATGGTAAGTCGCGTGATCAAGGATAAAAATATCTAAACGCCTGATACCCAAGGTTGGGTTCCTTGAGTATCAATGGAAAAGGAATTGATTCATTCCCCCTCAGGGATTCAATTAGGCTTTTTTAATCTACTAGCATGTCAATTAGCTTGGCATCCAATGTGGTCTCAAATCAATGAAGCTCAAGGCGTGAAGCTCAAGTCGCCTCCAAGGTATTCGGCCGCTCTGGGCTAGTATTTTTCTGATGCATTCGGGGAATCTTGCTGAGTGACATTTATGGATTGATACTTCGATTAGCGTTCATTCAACGCTACAATGATATTCTTCTTTAGCCATTGTACTGTTTTTTGCCTTGACCTGGATATGACTTGCCCATATTTTAATCAAATGGTAAATTGTTGACACTACCGTAGTTTTACTGTTTTAGTTGGGAGCAATGGGGCTAATGTTTCAGGGCAAGCCAGTGCTCACTCCGTCCCAACAGCTTCTTGCATCTGAAATCTCTCCCCATTAAATAAACTACGCAAGTACGGAGATGAGATATTTCCAATGCAAGGCTGTTCGAACGGGTGGTGAAAGGAAAATTTACCGAGCATTTAGTAGATATTTTGGGAGGATTAGTGATTGTGATTTATTAGGTTAAGGGAGATGCTCCTGATGTATGCTGCATTGGCTGCTGTTGGGACTATATCCAGACAAAGTGGCATTCTTTTGATGCTCTCTTTCGAGACTAGGTGAAGTAGGTTTGGGGCAAAGCATTTGGGAGCTCCTCTTTACAAAAATTGTCCCAACATGATCCGTGTCCACACTTGAACCCACCCTGCATGACATGTGTGGACACATTTCACCACTTAGAATTGGAATTGCTTTAGCCACCGGTTTTTAGATCAGCAGTTTGATTGTTTGGTTCAAATGGATGACCTGTTAAAAATAATTAAAATAAAATGGCCAAAAATGACTGTTCAGGTTGAATGGGTCAATGGGTCACTGGCCAAGTCAGCAGTTTTGGCAAAAAAATAAGTTAAAGATAAAACGAAATCAGTGGCCTGAACGATTTCCAGGCCAAATGGTCTAACTATCTAGGTCATTGATGCTTCTAAAACCATGCATATTTGCATTTGCACTCTTTTCAAATAGAGCCTAAGGGCTCTATTGGGGAAGAGTGCAATGTATCCTTTATAAATGATTATTAGATTAAAAGGTCCAATGCAAATATGCAAGGTTCACTGCAAATGCAAATTACTGGATTAGTATTGAGGCCGTCAGTAAGAGTATATATGTCTGAAGCGGGGATGGTTGAAGGCGTCGGTAAGGTTACTGGTATTCCATGGAAGTAATTGGAACAAGTTTTGGGTAGACCCCATGTGGAGTGCTTTTTAATCACTTATATAAACACTTATTTTAGAAAAATAAGCACTTTTTTAAGAAATAAATCCATTTTCAATAAGCTGAAAATTTTGTTTTTTTTTTTTCAAGTGCATTTTGAAAAAGGCACTAATTACGTTTCTGGTCCTTTTGACCCACCATGTAATTTTCAAATATACGACCCCTATTTGAGAGATGCTTTTTCACCAAACGCTTGCAAGTGATTTTTAGGATAAGCACTTAATTATTCAATAATCACACCTAAACTACCACTTGGTTAGAATCAGATATAATACAGAGATTAGGTAGAGTCAAGTTTGACTGAATTTGGTAGAATATGGATAAAATAATACTTATTTTTGAAACCTTGGTTTTAGTAATCCATGGGCTGTAAGCATTATCCATAAAATGTCAAAAAAGAATAATATCATGAATACAAATGAATATAAAAATTTTTTAGACCTTTCTCATAGGAATGGCAACGGGTGGGGGTCCTTGTGAAAATGCGGCCCCAGAATGTTATCCCCAATTCCCCATTCCCATTCCCACAAGGATTTTTGTGATGTCAAATTTATTTTATTTTTAAAATTTAAAATAAAATAATTATTCAATTTACGGTTCTATTAAAATAGATTCGAACATATTTAATGATATTTTTAAAAATATTAATATACATAAATACATAACAGGGATACCTATAGGTCAATGAGGATGAAAATTTTGTCATCCCCGTCTTCATTTGGGGCGGGTCGCTGCGGGGATTGAGGGAATGGAAAAAAAAAATTGCTATTTTTTCTAACTCCACTCCAGAGCCAATAAACCTATGACGTTCATTACTTTACATACAAGAAACATAGAAAAAATTCTTCCTATTTTTATATTAATAACTAACTTGTCGGACTTATTCCATAAAGTCTATCCACTGTAGCTATTACCCATAAGGGTTTTTTTTTTTTTTGCTACAATCTCCACATTACTTGTTTGATTCACTTTGAAAATTTCATGTTCATCTCTACTTGTTTGCTATCCCCATTTAATTTAACTCTATCTGCTTAATGCACATATGTGGTTGGTATAAAGTCAAATTCACTAGTTAACTCCAACATGAACTTTAAATCGTTCTTTTTTAGAAGGAATTACCATCTCACAATAGATTGCATTTTCGAAATCCATTAATCTTCTTCTCTTCCCCTACTGCAAAAGAAGTTTTTATTTGTGTGAGAAATTGTGTAGACAGTTTCTAGCCATTTCTTGGGGTCTCTTGAGAATATTATCAATTATTATACTCCAAATTAGGCAACATAACCCTTCATGCTTGCCTTTTTTTCATTAAGGCTGTGTTTGGTTGTAGTGCAATTTTATTTGCACTGGCAGTGCAAATAAAAAGAACTCAAATTCTGGTTTAATTTTGTTTTGGGTGTTACTTTATCTTACTTCAAGTCTTGATTTGCTTCGTTTGTACTGCAATCAAATAAAATAAGGTAAAATTTGAAATAAAAATAAATAGTAATTTGCACTAAAATCATTTACACTGTCATAGTTTTGCATTAGTACAAATAAATTTACATTGCAACCAAACACAGTCCAAAGAACATAAAAGGCCACTACCCAATGTTGATCTCATTTATCCGGGGCCTTGGGAGGGGTAAACTGGGCATGGTTTTAGCCTTTTGCTTTTTTCGCAAAAGTGGTTGCTCTTAGACTTGATCCCGTATTCTCATGCTTAATTAATGGCCTGAGATTTTACCATTACACCAAATAATGTATAATACATGGCTCTTATGGCGGGAGGGGGCTAAAACCGCACCTTGGATATTAAAAACAAAACTTCTCACTTTTGTGCAATATATACTAAGATAAAGAAATCAAACCACCTTGACAAAAGATATATAGAATACTATTATATAATGAAATTATCCCCCCCACCTAAGGCAGTTCATAAGAAGGCCCAACCCGACCAAATCGATTCAACCCGAGTCGGTTGGGTTTTCATCAGCACCGATCGGTTTTGGGTTGGGCAAAATCATAAACCGATATATCGGGTCAGTTTTGATTTTCTTATGTGAAAATCGAAACCGACCCGAACTAAACCAAACCGAACCAATTAGTTTTCTAGTTCGGTAGTTCCTAGTTTCCTACTTAGCTAGTCTTCTACTAGAACTAAAATAGCCCTATCTTCTAGTTCCTACTTAACTAAATTGTATCTATCCTAATTTTTATAGTCTTTTACACCAAATAGGCAACCCATTAGGTAATCACAATTAGAATTAGGTGTCCTTCTAGTTCTAGGCTTCTCTATCATTTTTGTACAGGAGCAAAACCGAAACCGACTCAAACCGACCAGGTCGGTTTTGCCTATCAGTGGGTCGGTTTCGGTTTCCACCTCATGTAACCCGACCAAGTCGGGTCGGTTGGGAAAACCCCTATAAACTGACCCAACCTGACCCGTGAACAGCCCTACCCCCACCCCACCCCATCACATAAGAGTGTCAATGGACTGGTTTTGGATTAGACCCCATCCAGTCCAAAATCAATTTGGATGGATTGGACAGACCAACAAGACATATCAAATTGGACCAATTCGGTCCAAAAAATTTATTAGATTGGATTGGACCCGGTCCGTCCATAACAAATTTATATTGGATTGGGTTGGATTAAACTAATATCCGATCCATTAATATAAGATAAGAATACATGTATCAATGGACCAGGTTTGGGTTGAAACCAATCTAAATCAAAATGAATTTGAATAGATTGGACAGTCTAGATATTGAATTGGACTGGTCCAAATTAGTTCAAAACATTCATGGAGTTGGATTGGATTGGACCTGATCCATTTATAATGGACTCGCATTGGACTGGATCGAATTGAACCAAATCTAGTCCAATTGACACCCCTACCACCAAGTACCCTTAAAAAAAAGCACACCTGAGTTAACTTATCTTCACAGACCTCGTACCCAAGTACAATGGGATTACATGACATAACCCATTGTATCTATCGCCACATTACTTACAACAAACACTGAAAAAACTAACCAACATTAAACAACTACCAACTCAGACGAAGACAAAGTCCAATTAGACATTAGATTGAAATGTGGTCCAACATCCACAACACAAGACAAACTCAACGCTCATTGAATGTATTACTAAATACTCAAGAAGTTAATCTGATCTATTCTACTTGATAATTTGGTGATTCATCAACTAATCACTTAATTTAATCTATCCAATCACCTAATTTGATAAGAATTAGTATCTGCAACTACCACAATGAAATCCTACTTAGTGGATAGAGAGGATCAAACAATTGACCTTTCTCTACTTTTATTTTATTGTGCACAAATGACCATCCCAAATCTCCGAGAGGCCTTGAGCATTGCCTTCCTCCAACGAATTCCATAAAATAAAGACTCCTGGCACAATTGACATCAGACAAAATTTTCAATGTCCAACTACCAATTAATTCTCTTCTATTAATGCATTATTCTAATAGAATCTTGGGCTCCGTTTGTTTGTGATACAAATAAATATTCACGGTACATAAATACCCTCTGACATGGGAGCAAAGTGGGTTCACAGTACATTGCATGGGAGCAAACATTAAATGCTTCAACTATTCAAGATGAATTTTGGTCAAACAGTTGATTGATGTATTCAATAAGCCCGTTTACATCAATTTTAAAGAATAAGGGTCTGTTCATTTCCTCTTAACTCTTATCTCTTAATAGAAATTTTTTAACTTTATGAATACTCACAAACTCGAACCAGGGTACAAAAATACCCCGACGTTTATATCACAAAGCCTTGAGTCTTGAGACTAGAGATTACAAGTTAGGAGCTTACTAAAGCATATTTTTAATCCAAGAGCTTAACAATGCTTTATATCATGATTTTCAAAACCAGACCAAACCAGACCGGACGGTTAGACTGGAAAAACTGGGAACCAGTCACTTTGGCAAAAAACCATTGATTTGGTCAGCAAACCACTGACCTAGGCGATTGAACTGTTCGAACGTCCAACAGTTTTTGGCCATTTTTTTAATTTTTTTATTAGAACGGGCCATCCGTTTGATTTGAATGATCAAACTGTTTGACTTTTAACCGGACTCCTAAACGGTTCATTATCCAGTTCAATTTTAAAAACATTGCTTTATATAATATATATTGGTAGAGATTACTTCTAAAGACAAGTTCAACCCCATAAACGCATAGGTGCACATGTAACCAGTATTTCAGATGGGCCTGAATCCGCAAGTTTAGCTTCGGTAGCTTTGTCAAAGTTCTTTCGGCTCATATAATTAAAGCTTTTTAAAGTAGTATATCATCTGGGTTTCAATTTGAATGCTTAAGATGAGCCCAGAATCAACAACGAAGTGTTGGATCATAATAGAATGAATCATCATGCTTTGCTTAACTTAGTGGACTTTTTTTTTCCAAAATGACTCGTAAAATGTGGTAGCTAAAAGATCTTAAGTTCTATTGTTATTGAGCTCTACAATTAGAGACCTAATATTTTTATGGGAAAATGATGGTTCAGCCCAGGGTCAGAATTTGCAGGTTTCAAATACTGTTGGGGTAGGTGAATTGATGCTAATTCATGGGCGGGTGTTGATGCATAAAATATGGGTATTTGACATTTTAAATGTTTATAAATCTGCAGTGGGATTCAGAAATCTACATTAGGTCTGTCCATACTTCTCCATATTTTTATTTAGGCCTTTTTATAGTCCACTCCACCTCAAAATTCATAAATTATTTCTCCAAATATTATTTATCCCCAGCCTACTCCCCCTATATACAGCGTCCCTTCTCTGAATTGGGGATTTTCCCCCCCTTACACTGACCCAAATTGTACGATGGCATTTTGAATTCTGAGGTGTACTGAACTTAAATTACCCCTACTATTTCACAAGTTATAATGGGTCAGAATTTGAGCAGCCTTAACAAACTCCGAAGATGGAAACTATTGGTTTTAAAAACTGGACCAGACTGGATGGTCAGCCGGTTGACCCAAGAACCGGTCATAGCTCCATATTCGGTTTTGAACCCCAAAACCATCCAACTGGGGTTCAGACCAGACAATCGGACAATTTAACCTAGGAACAGATGTCCAAAGTAGTTCCGTTTTGGGTTCGATTTTTTAAAGTATGATGGAAACCCATAAAGGACTGATGGTTGTTTATGATTTAGTAAGCCTTTTTGACCATGTTTTATTCTCAAGTGGTTAGAGTTTAGACGAAGTTCTGCTGACGATGTAAATGATGTTGGGGCTGCCCTTTAGATTACAGCCATCGGCAACAACAGACATCTCTATATAATCTTTCTCCTCTCTACTTCTCCCACTTCTCTTTCTCTCTCTCTCTCAAATACACATACACAAAACAAAAGGTTTCAAGAGTGAGAGATGGCCTCTTCTGACGTTGATGAATCAGTGGTTAAGGTTGATAAGTACAGATCACATATGTATGGGGAAGGAGAGAAGTATACCAAATGGAGGTTTGGTGCTCCTCCCAACTATGATTTGGTGGACAGACTCTTTGAAGAAGGCCGAACTCAAGTAACCCATTTCTCTCTCTCTCTCTCTCAATTCTTCATGTAATGATGGATTAACTTTAAGCTCTACTATTGTGAATAGGAATGGTCAAAAGGATCATTGGAGGAAAAAGTGCAAAATCTTGTCAAGACATGGGAGATGGAGATCATTCATAAAATCTCCCCTGAGGACTATAAATCAATAAACGTTGAAAAATTTACATTCAGCGTGAATGGTATTACTACTACTATCTCTGTTTCTAATTCTATTCCTGTTTCGAATCTTTAGTTATAACTTCTCTTCTTTCATTAATTTCCTGGAGAGCCCATCAACTTCTTGATGATACTGATTGGAGGAATGTACAGGGGGGAAACCGATGTCACGTTCAGAGACATCAAAGCTTGGAAGCTACAACTTATTCTTGCAAACCTCCATGCCAAAGCACTTACTTGAATACGACCCATCTGTTGAAATGCCCGAATCGTCCCAGCAAGTTTTCGTAGCCACATTCCCTCGTGGATTTGCTTTGGAAATTCTTCAGGTTTATTCAGGTCCTCCGGCGATTGTCTACAAGTTCAGGCACTGGGCTTTCATGGAGGGTCCTTTCAAAGGCCATGCTCCCACTGGGGAGAAGGTGGAGTTCTTCGGTATAGGCATCTTTCATATATGCTTCTCTTCTTTGAAACACTTAAAACAAATTTCATGAGTTATTACTGCCTTGTGTTCAGAGTTTTTGAATGAAATTTAATTTCGATCTTACAACTTTTTTTCTTTAATAATGGGTTTTGTTTTAGGTTGATGAATCAATGCGAATCGAAAAGGTGGAGTTCTTTTATGATCCCAACAAACTGCTGGCCAGTCTTATCAAAAACCCTAGCTCGAATGAGACGGGGGCCTCAAATAATCCATCTCCTGGTTGCCCAATTTTCAACAACATCTAGCTGCTGAAACTCCTGTTTTAGTGGTCTACCAGGAAAAGCAAAATTCATGTTCTGTGACTGTCTTGCTATATATCATGTAATTCCTAAATTCCATATATACTACCTTAGAAGCAGCGTTTTGAGTGTGAAGTAAGATAAGGTCTCTACTCGTTGTAGCGGAGACTTGGGATCTAATCTCGCTTTCACTAGGGTTGGGGTGTGATGGGTAAGAGTGATTCTACTACTTAAGTGATTTGTGTATTAAATAAATGATAAATGTATGTCCATGTCAAATACTCTTTAGCTATGATGTGGTATTTCACAATTTAAGATGATCACGTGTGGCTGTAATTCATGACGGGTAGAGAGTAGTGGGCAGAAAATTCGGTTTGATTTTAGTGATGGAATAGAACCAGCAAAATCAAAGCCTTTAAATGTATTATTGTGGCCCCACCTTGAATTAGATGAAGTGAAGCCTTCCTGGGGCCAAGACAATACATGAAGCCCCGCAAAGCCATGAGTTAGTACATGAAAGCCCTCCCATACAGGCATTTGATTAGTTAAGTAGCATTGCATTGCCCTATGTCCCCAAGGCCAACAATGAAAAGTGTTGAGATGCATATAATTTTGATTGTGTTTGGTATCATTGTCACTTCTACTTGCAATATTTTTTATTGGTCAATATAAATTTTAAAAGAATATATATTCTTTTACCACAAATGTTTTGAATTATCAATACAACATTTGGTATCATTGGTGTTTCCACTATGAATGCCAACACCCAATGCAATGTCTATATTTTTTTTAGTGGAAGTGGTTATCTGATATGAATCATATAATGTGACAAGACCATTTCTCAAAAATTTGTACCGATCAACTTAAACAGTTGCAAGTAAAAGTGGCAATGGTACCAAACACAACCTTTGTTTGCATCTAAGTGTTTAAATTATTTACACTGTTTATTGAACCAAAACATATATTTTCTTCCTCTTGTCTCTTTTATTTATACTACCAAATTCCAAAGTCATGTTTAACATTGTTATAGATTTTATTTTATTTTATTTATTTTTTGTTTGAAGTGTAGAGGAAGTAAAATAAAACCTAAAATAAAATAAAATAAAACCCCAAAGTAAATAAGAATAAAATCAGCAACATTAGTGCAAATTAGATTGTACTATAAACAAATGCCACCTAAGGCTCAATTTGGAAAGAATACAAATACAAATATGTATAGTGCAAAAAACTATATTTTGCATTTAGGCTCGGTTTGGAAGGAGCACAAATATAAATTTGTAGAGTGCAAAATCTTGTATTTTGTATGTATTTGCACTATGCATATTTGTATTTATACTCCTTTCAAATTGAGCCTTATTAACAAACAACAAGATATTCATTTAGATGGTGTTTGGTTTCATTAGTTTATCTAAAAAATGGCACCAATTTCCTGTGATAGAATTTGAAATGTTGTTTGATTAAACCATTTATCAAATGTACATTTTTCTAAAGTTGTATGAGAGTCAATTATAGGGGGAACATCTTTTTGATGTTCTCACGCTTAGGTGTTTTTTCACTATTCAGTTTGTGGCACCTAATGGTGCCTAGCTGCCAAAATAAAGCGTATTTTAACATTATTTAATAGTTTTTCTTGTTTTACAATAGAGGTTTGTACAAAATGTTTATTAAGGTTCCATTTAGCAAGTATTTTTAGATAAAATCTTCTAACAGCCTAAATGGCCAAAAGACATTAAACTTTTAGGGTATTGTTTTCAAAGACAAAGACCATTTGGCAAATGGATTGGTTTATTAGGTTTTTAAAAATGCATTTAGAGACTATTTATCACATGGAAAGACAATCTTCATTTGAAGCTTCCTAAAATTTTGCATTTTCAATCTTTTTGGATTTTTATGTGCACGCATCTTTTGATCTTACCAGTATTTTTAACTTGTTATTGACCTAGCCAGTTAAATCGCTTGAACCGTCATCCAATAGTAAAACTTAGTGGATGGTCAAAATCGTTGACTTAGTCAAAACCATCTGACTCAGATGGTTGGACCGTTGACCCGATGACCAAGTCATGAGTTGCACGCTAAATGTGTATGCAAACTTCAAGAGGCCATAACTTTATACTCAAATGTCCGATTGAGGTGATTGCTTTTATTTTGGGTGCCTTGTCTGTTATTTTTGCCTAAAAAATACCCTTTTTTGGTCTCAAACAATGACTTAAATACGATACATCTGATACGGAGTGTGTCGTATCGGTATAGGTTGATAACGGTATGGGATAAATAGAAATGTATCTCATAAGTTGTTCATCGCACCATACTAATCCGTATCGATATGTATCATACTGTATACGCATTGATACGAAACCATATGCACGAAATGCCGCATCTTTACTTCATAAAAAGTGCAATCATGTCAACTCGAACCCAGGGCATTTGAACGCACTAGGTTCACCACACTCTGATCCATCAAGCCAAGCTTTATCTTGTCTTATTAAATAGAATCAAATAATCTTTAACACGTGTTTATATTTAACAATTCTAATTATTACAAGTAATAATATTCAAAAATAGTATTTTATAAATTAATAGAACAAATAATCTATCAAGTCCATATTTATATAAAAAGATGATTTTTTAATATAAAAAATATTAATAATAAAATAATTATTTTAATATTTAAATTGCACAAGATATGCATTTTAAATTTGGGAGAACGACGATTCAGCCCAGGATCAGAATTACTAGGCCCAAAGTACAGCTGGGGTGGGTGCCAGCTCGGAATTGATGCCAATTCATGGGTGGGCATTGGTGTGTAGAGTGGGGGTTTTTGACATTTTGAATGTTTATAGTTCTGCAGTAGAAATAAAAAATCTGCATTGGGCCTGTCTGTACTTCTTCGTTTAAATTTTTTATATATTTGTAAAAATTATTAATTAATATTTTTATTTACATTAATAATTAATAACAATGTAGTTATTATTTGTAAAAAAATATTGCTTACAAAATATTGAGGAATATAATATTAAATTGAATCTATCAAATTCACTAATCTATATTTATTTCAAAAAATGATTTTTTTATTTCCAATTATTTATAGAAATAAAGAGATTAACAATGGAATAATTATTTTAGTAGTTAAAAATTATGAATTTGTATAGGATATGTATCTTAGAAAATTTAACAAATTTGATATACCTTAAGTTAATATTATATTTTTTGTGAATTATTAATTGGTATTTTAATTTGCATTTGAGAATTTAATATTTAGTTGATTTTTTGCTAATGTTAAAAAATTAAAATAGTAAAATAAAAAATAAGTGATATAATAATTAAAATATAATATGCACATATGTTTAGTGTCTTGGACTCTATATTGATGCATTGTAAATAAAATTATATGATATCTAGGCATCCTGATATATTAATTGTAATGTATTTTTTCGTATACACCATTAAAATATACATTTTTATGTATTTATATACTATGAATTTGTGACTTTTTTGGTTTTAAATTTAGTGTTGTTAATGTATTGTGGAATTTGTTTGTATTTTCCTAACATATCCATCTGTTTCCATATTTTTCGTCTGTATCCATGTGTTCCCAAAGCGTATCCGTATCTGAATTCTCCGATATGATACCCGATACCGATACTTTAATCCTTGGTCTCAAATTGCAACTTTTAATATTTTTTATAAATAAAAAATTTAAAATATAAATTAAATATAAAATAATATAAATAGTACATGTAGAACATAATTATATATTATTTATCGATAAAATACATGTTTATACATACCTACACACATGTATATGCATATATACATATTATGTATAAATTTATGTATTGTTGACATGGCACGGTCTGACCCATTCAATAAGGATGGTCAAACTTGTGACCTTCATCCCGGAGGCAAAAACGGTTCAGCCTCCAAAGTTGGTTTTTAAAATTCAACAATTTCGATCTATTCAGATTTTTATGTGCATGCATATTCTAATCTTATCAGCTTTTGGGTTAATAAAGAGAGCACATGAAAATACTTGCCAAAGGTGCCTAATAAACCAACATTTAAAGCTTCCTAAAATTCGCCATTTTCGATTTTTTTTCAAATTTTTATGTGCATGCATCTTCTGATCTTATTGGCTTTTTGGTTACTAAAGATAGCATATGAAAATACTTGCCAAGCTAGTAGCATAAAAGGGCAAACTTCTTAAATTATCCTTATGGGTTAGCTATTTGACTAACTCTACCCTTACTGTTTACACATTGTCTTAAAGTACCGCTACTGTTTTTGACAATTGACATAATCGGTAAGTGCTAATGGAAAGAAATGAAATATCGAATTTACTCTCCACTATTCCTCAAAATTTGAAAATAAAACCCAACTGATGAAAAATTTACGTTCTTTTCTTCCCTTCCACCTTCCTTTCCCACCATAAGACCTCTATTCATTGTCTTCTACAACTAAAACAAAGGAATTGCAGCACCTTTCTTGCTCTTTGTTCCTTGGGCGGTTCCAACTTCGATTCAAAGCTTTAGGTCAATTTATCTCTAAGGCCCCGTTTGCTTTTCGGTAAGTTACTTACCCAAGTAAATGCACTTACTTGGGTAAGTTTTTCCTGGGAAACACTTACCTGGGTAAGTGCATTTACACACGTTCTTTTATTTCTCATGTAAATAAGGCAATGACAATTTTATCCATAAAAACCCATTATTAAAAAGGGTATTTTTGTCCCATTTAAGTATTGACAACTTTCCCTAGGTGGGAAAAACATTTACAAAGAGAATCGACAAGATTAACTTCATTACAAAGTTCTGCCTTAGATTCACCTAACTCTAAGCTATAAACACATAGCGCCACACTCAAAATCTCTAATGGTCAATTTCCATCTGTATATTTTTGTAGGGAGAATTGAGATACATGGAAATAGGAAAAGACAAAACAGCCTCACCAAGATCGCAATCACATCTATCTTCAACAACTTCGATTTTAATTTAAGTGGGTGTTCGGCATTGATGCCGTTTTCTGAGAAAATGGTGCCACATCAGAGAAAGCGGCACATGCCCACAGAAAAATGGTGCGATGTTCCCACCATGGATGCCAAACACCTACTAAATCTCTCTCAACCACTTTAGCTTTCAGGAGACCCTACTTATCAACCACTTAATTTAAATCTCTCTCAGAAACCTTGCATTTTCGGGTGACAATGAACAAACCCTCGCTCGCTCATTTGCACTTTCTTCCAACAAACTTCTCTCTCTCTCTCTTATCGTCACCGCCACTGCAACATGGTGCCTTAGCTATCTCTGTTTCCGACTGGAACAACCTTGTTCGTAGACGTTAGTCAGCAACAACTCTTGAATTTCTGTTTGGGTGTCAGAGTATCGAGCAACTCTTCGGTGAGAATGATGCCATACACAGAAGAAGAAGAAGTTGATAGCTTAATACATCCATGCTTGCAAGATTAAACCCTCAAATCCAAAATATGGTACCAAAGCTCAAAGATTTTCTCAATGGCCACTCTCCGTTTCTAAGAGTCTTTTTCTTTATCCAATGTGTCCTCTCCATTCTCTGAAACATCAAATCTAAAAACCGGCATAATAGTCCTATTCATGGGCGGTGATTCTTACCTAGTTTGCAGAAGAGTGATGAAGAGTAATATAGGGTTTTAAAAAAAATTATACATCGCATGGTGTCATGTGTGTATAGATTTTAAAGGAACATCAAGGACGCTAATGACAGGAGTAGAACTAGTCAATCGTGAGAAAGAGTAGGGGTGGTTTAACAATTAAAAGAAAAAGGAAAAAAAAAACGAAAATACTTGCCAAATCCAAACGTGCCTAAATAAATCGAAAGGGAAGTAGACAGCTAATGATAGTCTGATATCCTATCCCACCCAATTGCTAACCGCCATGGCGCCAAAAACATTACAAAAATCGTATCAGGTGGAGGGAAAACCTATAAATTCTCAAATCAGATGAGTTGGGGGGTAGATGTGGAAGAACGCTTGACCCTACGAAGACACCAGCAATCAAAGGGGAAATTAGAGGGAGAAGCTCTAACAAGTCACACCGGAATCGGGAATTCCATACTCTTTTCGTGGGAGACGAAATCCTAATTCAAAGTGCCTCACTTACACAACGGCCTTTCTCTCTCTTTCCCTACTTTTTCTCTGAAAATCCGTCTCTCCCGTAACGAATCCGCGTTCAGAGGTTGATCTTTAACTGGTTTTTCACCCTTTCTGGCGGCTCCGACGCGGCTTTTCGATTTCTTTAGCTGATGTGGTTCTCATTCCCGGTTCAATCAATCGGAGAGATTTTATCGGTTTCTTCATTGTTTCTGTTCTGTTTCTCCTGAATTTGCAAATTAGATTCTGTTCTCCAGGTAGTTTGTTCTTTTGTTGTTATGGGGTAGTTCATATTTTCTTTTTTCTTTTCTCTTTCTTAGAGATGAATGCGAACCGAATTCAGTTGGTCGTGAATTTTTGTGATGCTGTTTTGAATATAGCTGCTACTTGGGTTTCCAGAAATGTCAATATGTTTTTCATTTGCTGGAGTTGATTTGAATTTGAGAACTGAATTGCTGATTTCTGTGGTTCTCCGTCTATTCGCTAGTGGGTTTAGGGTTTGTTGAATGGGGTTTAGAATCATGGTGTCTCCAAATAGAGGTCAGGCGGCTTATTTCCCGCTTCTTGCTAGGCAAGGATCTCTTTACAATCTCACCCTTGAAGAGGTCCAGAACCAGGTAGGGGATGTAGGGAAGCCCTCGAATAGTATGAATTTGGATGAACTGTTGAAGGGTGTAGTTGCAGCTGAAGGAAGTGAAGTCACGCACGACCAAAAACTCTCCACTGTGAGTGCCTCTCCATCTTCTCCTCCTATTTCTCCAGGAAATTTCAATTTGAATCGGACACTCAATAGGAAAACTGTTGATGAGGTTTGGAATGACATTGTTCAGCAAGAGCAAGAAAATACAGGAGGTGATGGATCTATGCAGAGGCAACCAACTCTCGGGGAAACCACACTTGAGGATTTCCTTATCCGAGCTGGTGCCATTAGTATAGGGAATCAGGATGGTGTTCTTAATCCCCATTCCTTGGTGGCAATAGACCCAATTGTTTCAACAACTCAACAGGCAGACTGGTTGCAATTGCAGATGGCTGCTGTTCAACAGCAGCAGATGGCAGTCTTGGGTTCTAGTGTGCCTCTTGCTGTGTCAGTGTTTGGGAATTCAGCTGGGGATTCTGGGTACTCAGGGAACCAACTGGCACTATCGGTGCCAATGCCAGTTGTGACAGTGACATCATCAGATTCACAGTCAACGGTTGAAAGGAAGCAACGGTTCTCGGATGAGATGATGGAGAAGACTATTGAGAGGAGGCAGAAAAGGATGATAAAAAACCGTGAGTCAGCTGCTAGATCAAGGGCAAGGAAGCAGGTGGATTTAAGGGCCCATTTGTTTGTTTGTCTTATACAGAAGCCACCCAAAATATTGGCTTTTATCTTTGTTATTAGTGCTTTCAGTAGTAAAACTATATATATTTTTAATCATTTTTCTGTCTGTTGTGGTGATGATAGGCATATACCAACCACTTGGAGAATAAAGTGTCAGAGTTAAAGAAAACAAATAAGAGGCTCAACAGGCAGAAGGTATGAGATTGGATGGTTTAAAATTATTAATATTAAGTATTAACAATGCATTTCTTGGTTTACAAAGCACGTTTTCATCTTCATTGCATGAATTATTGTATAATGTAAGATGTCAGACTTAGTTCTTCTAGCATTAAATGTCTGTCCTCCATTTCATTAAGAGGAACTAGGGTCATGATATACAAGAGAAATTGATCATAATCATGGTCATATTTTAATTTCGTTTCTTAGTCACTTTGAACATGTTTAATGTGTTACTTCCTTTGGGGAATTTTTCCTGTTACCTGTTGAGTTTAGGAATGTATATAAAATTTACAGCATTTTCTATAGATGATGAAGAGATTCCTTAGTGTAGTTACACGGTAAAATGGCGATCATCTCCAAGTTAGTTTTGCCATGCATTTATGGTAAAGTTGCCTCTTGAGGAGATTGTCTGATGCTTCTTGGATTTGTGCTATATCCACATTCCACAGCCCATCTCCCTCCCCACTATCCATTGAGATCATGTGTTTGAAACCTTAACAGTTTCCGTGTGGTTATTTGCTGCCTTATTGGAAATGACAGATGTGATTGAAAAAAAAATGGATAAAATTAATAAAGTATCACAAAGCAAGTTAGTAGTGGTAACTATTTGTAAGACTCGTAGTCAAAGTAACAACAATGCAGCAGCAATATTTTCCACCTAAAAGATGATTACAACATAAGAAACGACAGAAGCAAAAGTATTTAGATGGGGGAGAGCAATTTCTCCCTCCTTCCCTCTCCCTCTCCATGTATGTGCAACTCTTGATTTTATGATTTTATTTAATGGTCTGTTAATAAGATTTATGTGCTAATGTGCTAAGCATTTGTGGGTGTATAAAAAGGTTAAATTGTATTCTTTAGAAAGAGAAAACTTAAGTGTCACTTTTGTTGGGGTCGGGGGAGGACTAAAAGAAATTGAAGAATAGGATGGAGAACATGATACGGAAATTTAGTGGGCAGTCTCTTTATCTAATGGCATCTTTGGAAATGCAAATTGTGTTTCCACCTTTTGATATTTTGTTATTTTCTATTGCTCTTTCACTGCAGTCTTGCATTGTTTTAGCTTATTATTTCTATGATTTCTCTTCATCTGTTATTATTAAAAAATAAATCACTGGAATCCCAAGGTAGTGATTATTAGGCAGGGGTTCATGGCAATTTGGATCTGTCGGAGGTTTTTCTGGTATTAGGTTATCCCTAAGAACTCTCATGTTGTAATTCCTGACACTTGTTGTGCCAAACATGATAACGACTGTACTTTTGCACCCATCTACCTTTATCTTCTCCAACTATTGATCTTTTTTTTTTTATCAACCTAAATATGCATTTATATGTACATATGTCCATATATAGATGCATGCATGAATTAAACGTGCTGTGAACATTACTACTCAACTGAAGTTTGTGCAGCCTATGAACTGGTTTCTCTATCAACTCACATTTTATCCTAAATCCAAGTAGTTTTTGGCTCAAGATTCAATAGTTGTACAATTTGAGCACTATTTTAATCTCACATGAATGGCAATGCCTAACTTCTTTCTTTTGATAAAGGTGCAATGTCTAACTTCTGTTAATTTTGAACAGGAGATACAGATGCTTTTACCTTTGGATCCTCCTCTAGAACCTAAATACCAACTCCGGCGTACCAGTTCAACATCATTCTGAGACAGCAGGCATAACTGTCCATATATTAATTTAATTCTTTTAAAATTCATTATTTTTTCCCCATTTTTTCTTTAATTCATTAGCTTGTAGATCAACACAGCAATTGGTTTTGCATTGAGAGCTTAGTTTGCGATTGGTATGCTACACCTCTTCACACACACAGAGAAAAAGAGAGAGAGAGAGAGAATAAAAATAGATTCTTTTCTTTCCTTCCCCTTTTTTCCTTGGCTTGCAAGTCTCTATTCCAGCTGATACTTGTACAGATTCCTCCATTTGTTTGTCTAGCATAAGATAAGACAGGGGAGGGCGTTCTCTGCTCCAATACCGACTGGTTCAATCATATCAATGGTTTCAAATCAACATCTTATTCTATTTGCTACGAAATTTTAGTAAGCATCATTTCTCATTTTCAATCTGATTTGCATTGCTTAGATTCTTTGTTTCTCTATCAACTCATCTTATTTTATTTTGTGGCTTTAAATGTAAGTCGTGGTTATCTTGATGGAGTGTGGGTGGCATATTGCTGACTCTTGCAATACCAGATTTAAAACTTACTTATTACCATCCACGTGTCTCCTTTTAAGGATCTGGACCCATACTGATATGGTGCCACTGGTTCATTTTCAGGACTCTGGCCCATTTCTTTCTTCTTTCTTCTTTTTGTTTTTTTTTTTTTTTTCGTTTTTCCTTATCTCCTCTTGAAGATAATATAGCTTTGGCCTCTTCATTTTTTTCTCTTGAAGAATTTCTTTATTTTTTAGTTTTTTCTCTTGCAGGTTGTAAACTTGCAATTAGGGGTGTTCATTATATAGACCAGACCGCCAAACTGAAATTAACTCTTTGGTTTGGTTTGGCTGGGATTCTTTAAAATTTTGGTTTACTGTTTTGGTTTGATTTCTTGACTATATTTATTATTAGAATAGAATGGTCCAAACCATATTAAAAACTGCACCAAACTATAGTGAAACGGTTTGGTGGTCTATAATTGAAACCATCATATATGATCCTGAAAACCCAGTTGGAATCGACAGCTATACTTTTAATCTATAATTTTACTATGTATTTGTTAAATGTACACATTTTGACACTATACTAAGATAATATTACAAGTATTATCATGAAAATTTTCATAGGCATTAGACGGGAGGGGGGGGGGATGTTTTTTTGGTAACATACCAACACCAACATACATCTTTGGTTCGGGTCGGCCCGATCCATTGATAGTTTTTCTTTCTCTGTTTTTAACTTTCTTTGATTTTTACGTCAGAACATAGGCGGATTCCCACAACTTCCAGGAAGAAACATAAAGATGGTTTGTCAGGTTACTCAGGTGGAGCATCCTTTTCTAGGAAACTCGACTCGTTCGCATGTTGAGTCACTTGAGTGAACCATCAACTCAGTCTAGTTTAACTCGTTCGTCAATATAAGCACATTCAAAAAGTCATTATTCTGAGCATAAAGATTTAAGTGTATGTTCAAAAGGAACAAAAGAACAAATTTTCATATCAAGCATAACAATTAGAATAAAGCATATATCATAAAAATATAGACTGTTTGGATACGGGTGAAATAATAATCCTTCGGTTCTATTCTACTTTTTTTTTTTTTTTCTTATTACATTTTAACTAGGGATGACAATTTTCCTCATTTTCCCAATCGCCCCGAATGGGGCAGAGATGGGGATGATTCCCCATCCCCCCCAGGATGGGGAAATTTTCATCCCCGTTAGCATGGATGGGGAGAGCACTCCCCGCCCCACGGGGACCTCGATCCTCGTCCCATGTGATCCCCACTAATTTATATGTATATATGTATGCATACGTTATTTATGTGTATATGTACACATACATCTATATATTAATATTTTTAAAAATATGGTTGAATCTTTTCTAATAGGATTGTAAATTTTAATTATTTTAATTTTATTTTTTAAATAAAATAAAAAAACAAAATGGTTAACATTATAAAAAAATCACAGAGAATGGTGATCCCCGCGGGGATGGGGAGAGGCTCCTTGTCCCCGCCCCCACCCCGTTGCCTTTGGCCAACAACCTTTCCTATTGAGAGAGTTTTTGGGTTGGGCACGTTACCATGAGAGTGGGCAAATTAGTAATTGCCTTCTGATTTATTGAGTAAAAACCAAAGCATGGGCGTGAATTGGTGAGTTGCTGTAAACATGCCCAACCCAAAAACTCTCTCAACAGGAAAGGCTGTCAGCCCCCAACAGCCAAAGTTAACTTTAGCTGTTGGGAGCCAACAACCTATGTTGTTGTGAGAATTTCTGGTAATGCCGTGTTACCATGAGAATGGATAAATTAGTAATTTCATTTTAATTTATTTTTACTAAAAACAAAAGCATGGGTGTGAATAGGTGAACTGCCCAGAATGTGCCCAGCCCAGAAATTGTCTCAACAGCTTATGCTGTTGAACCCCAACAGCCAAAGTTAATCAGTCGGTCTATATCTAATACCCATTTTGGATAAATTTCTTCAAGGGAAAAGGAAAAAAGGACATGTGGATAATCTAGATGTTGAGTTTTTCAACTGTAATGTGATACTTCAATTACAATAAAACGTGGCAATTATTGTGGGATCTAGCTTCACTTTTTTTTTTTTTTTTTTTTAGGAAATTGTCTAAAATTCACCATGAGTTTTCATCAATTTCTCTTTAACACAATTTTTCAAAATGTCTAAAACTCACTTTGTCAGTAAGTTTTTATTTTCCAAAACTCACCTTCCCTTCGTGCATCATTAATACTTCTTAATAGGGGTGTTCATATCAGTATAAATAACAATTTTTTTTGTTTTTTTTTAAATTTTTAGTGTTTTGTTATAATTTCCAATGTTTTTTATAATTTCTGTTTTTTACATTTTTCTATTTTCTACAATCTATAAATTTTCCTGTATTTTTTGTTATTTATTTGCAATTTCTGTGTTTTTCTATATTTCTTTGTGCTTTTTCTAGAATTTTTGTTTTCTGATCTTGTTTTTCAATTTCACTAGTTTCTATAATTTGAAAAAAAAATTATTTGTTTGTAATTCCTATAATTTTTATATTTTTTGCAATTAAAATATTTTTAAACTTTTTCTTTTTTTCAAATCTAAATATTAAAATAATAATATATTAACACACGGTGACCAGTTTAACGTCAAGTTAGTAACATGGTGAGTTTTAACGATTTCCCTTTTTTTGTTAGTTGCCTTTCTCTTCCTCTCTTCCACGTGTTGTCTACATGGAGTTTGGTAATGCTCAAACTCAACTAACTCCGGTGATGATGTTCCCATCCATCAGTGATTCACAGAGTTCAACCAACGATGGCCAATAACTGTCGGATTGGAATCAAAACCCCTTCCAGATTTTTGTTTATTTTCTGAGTCGGTCTGTACGCCACGTCACGTCTTATCATCCATGAAAAGAGAATTTTTTTTAATCATCACGTGTGCATCACCCGTTCTGATTCCAAGATCCTTAGGTTTGAACACAAGATATTTTCTCAACGAACCTCTGACGAAAAAGAAGTTTCTCAACGGAAATACCCATCTCTCGGAGACAAATCGACGGTTCCTGATTACCGACAAACATCCTAACGTATCTTAGTTTACATCGTAAGTCCTCCCCTAGTAAATGGTTTCTCCCTTGGCGACAAAAATTCGAAACAATTGAAGATTTTCACGGTTTTCGTGAGTCGTGAGTCGTGACTCGTGGATTTAACCAAACTCTAACCCTAATTGGGTTCACTAACTAACCATGGTTAAATCGAATTAAATTGCGAAGCACCGCAGAGATGGAGACTTCTTCGAATTCGTTGGACTCGTGAGTGGATTTGAAAATTGAAACCCGACTACCCGAGTGTGAAATTACATTTACGGGCAGCGCCTCAGCAAAGAGGCGCACTTTGAGCTGAGCTGCTTTTCTCTCCATCACTAATATTATTATATTGTATTTGTATTTCTCTTTGTATCTCTGTGTATTCGCGATCGAGATCGGACGGTCCAGGATGGAAAGGGCTTTTGATGCTGGTTTCATGAGGTTTTAGAGCTGTAACTCGTTAGATCTGCTAGCTTCGCGTACAGATCTTCATACCAGGTATGCTATTCTTCCCGATATCTGTTTTTTCTCCAGTAATTACGTCGGTTAATTCAACCTTTCAGGTTTGTATGCTATGTTTCAGGCGTTTTAAGCTTACTGCTTAGTATCAAGTTCCTCGGTGTAAGCTGAGCTTCTGGTTCGTTTTTTTCTTCTATTACTGTCAATTTCTGGATCAAGGGAGTAGTTTTTGTCGATATTACTAGATTTCCTTGAGTAATCGGGTTTTCTCTATGGTTGTGTTGTTTTATCTCGTTTTCCGGCTATGTCTCTCGCATTTGCAGTCAACGTTTTCGTTTTATCCCTTTAGAAAGGCCGACTACCGTTGTTTTCCGGTGAAATTTTCTTCCAGAAACGACATTTCCAGGCTAGATTTTTCTCGTTTCTCCTAAAATTTTTGCTCTTCTCGTGTAAAAAAAAAAAAAACCTGCTTTAGTTATTTTTCTGTAAATTCCCGGCCAAATATCGTTTTCCGTGGCGTTCTTTTTCCGGCATTCTTTGTTAAGATTTTTGCGTTTTTCTTTCTACGTACTTGCTTTCGTTGTTTTCCCGGCGAAAACCATGCAGAAATCTGTATTTTTTAAGAGAAACTTTTGCTATTTTCGTTAAAACGGTGGTATTTTCAATGAAAATTAATGCCTTCGTGATTTGCCAATGAAAATCCCGGCGAAACTCCATCACTTAACGGCCACAACCACATTTGTTTCTCTTGAAAAGTCCCTTGTCTTCTTCTGATCTTGTCAATGGATCCGATAAAAAACGTTTCCTTTTTTTCCCGTCTGATCTTCTGGTCTGGTCTCTCTATCTGTTCAAACCTTTTTGAACTTCGAGAGACAGAAAAAGTTGTTATTTAATTTTCGTTGTCGGATTTCCTTAGAGATTTTTAACGACTAAGCCGAACTTCGAACCGATCTGACTGTCCTCTCTTGTCTTTCTTTTGCCTGCGTCTCATCGTCAGGGGGTCCTCCCTACTCCCCAGAGCTAAAGATCTCAGCCGTACAACATGGAGACTGACCAGGGTCCAATTCAACTGATGATGGGTAACCAATGCTTGCTAACGTGCGCCGGGGAAACATTAGCTGCTTTGATCACCTCCGCTCTGATCAAATCCCATCTCTCAGCTCAAGTAAGTTCAATTAAACTTAAGATCAGCACCTTATTAACAACTTCCCGCTGTACAACGGTTTTGCTGGTTTCTCAGCATGACCAAGGTCTGTGCTAACTTGCGCTGTTGGGTTATCGCACTTGGAATCTGCTACTCGCACCGAGTTCGGATCTGCTCCTTATACATCGCACCTCACACCGCACATTTCACCATGTATCGGAAATATCTCCCGTACTCTTTGGAGATGTTCTCAATGCACGGTGGGATATGCATGTGAGTTAAGTATTGAGAAGCAGATCTCAATTCACTTGTACAGTATTAAATTCTCCGCAACCAATCACGAGTGGGCACATCAGTATTTCCATATACATGAACCCACAGTCAGCATTTACGTGGCCCGAGAGATATTTATTTATTATTTAAATCGCATCCTATCCGTAAATTTAGCATCAATCCACGGGCAGAGTCAA